ACCCAACTGAAGCGATCTATCGTACACTAGATATATAAAGATATTCATTAAAAAAATATATCACATATATATACTCATAATGTTTATATTTAACAGGTCCCTAATACATTTAGTTTTTTACTATATAATATTCTGAAAAATCCAAAAGTTATTGCCAAGATTCATAAAGAAATCGATGAAGTTTTTGGTCCTGATCCAACCATTGAATTAACTTTTGAAAAACTCGAAAATTGTCATTATATTGATGCATTGATTAAAGAATCATTGCGTCATACTCCCTTAGTTCCATTGACTGTAATAACTTCTGAAGATGAAGAAAATGTTGCTGGATATAACTAAATTTTGGTTGGATCATCAAACTCTCAGTAATAATCCTGACTATTGGGATGATCCTGAAACTTTTAATCCTGATAGGTTTTTAGCCAAAAATTATAGTAAAACTTCGGATTTACAAAAGGTTTCTTTTAATCCATTTGGCTGTGGAATCAGAACTTGCGTTGGAAAATTAGTGGCATTAAATTTGATTAAATCTCTGGTTATTTTATTATTTAGAAAGTATAACATAGAATTAGTTAAAAATAATGAAAAGATAAAGTATCGTTATTATGTATTGAATCAGGTTTATGATCTGAACATTAAAGTTAGCTTAAGAGATATTTCTACTCTTTCATAAATTATGTTTAAACTATTTATAAATTTTTATTAACTTTTTATAATATAATAAACTTATACATATAGCTTATAGATAAGTATTTATCTTTGAAATAAAACATGTTATTTGGATTCTTTCATTTTTTTTACACTTAATGTTAACGTTTGCGTTTGTAGTGAATTTTTTACATGATATTGAATTACTCAGGAAATTGATTTGAATTGGCAATAAGACAAATGTCAAAATTAGTGCCTAGTACAATAAATATGCACGCAAATAACAAATAAGATCAATACCAGTGCCATTTAGAATGGCGTGTACGCAAAATCCTACATTTGATTGGATAGCGTGATCATAGTGATTATATTCACATATTACATATAACATATCCTGGCCCCATCAATAAAAACTAAATTTATGTGATGATTCGAATTGGTACTGTATACAAACTAGGAAAACAGATACAGTTAGTGTCCGAAGCTAAAAATATAATTTTTTACGAAATTGCATTATCGGACTGATCCGTGTCAATTTTCTTAGTTTGATTGGCTAATTATTTGATGACGTCACTGGAATCCAACACAAAATCTGGTCAATTGCTCTACCATAGAGTCTTCACTACGCTTCGGCAAATTATGATGTGATCAAGCTTGATACAATTACGTACGCATGTTTATTATAAAAATAATTTTCTGGTTGTACCATATAAAAGGCTAGAGATGGTAAGTATCGATAATTGTTTTTTGGACCTTCTGATGTTTTTTATTTTTCCTAAAAACTTTTAATATAAGAAATAAAATAATTCAATGATGCTAAGAGTTTGAAGAAATAAAATAATTCAATGATGCTAAGAGTTTGTATTCATAACGAAGTACTTGAGTGATCTCTTTAAATAATCAATAACAAATTTTGCCAAGCCGGGTATAAAAAAATGCTTTGCAATAGAAAGTTTATAAATTTGGCAAAAATAATATTGATTTTTTATTAATAAAAATATTTATTTACATAATAAGCTTTATCAAATTAATATTATACTTTAAAATATTTACGTAATACAATAACAAATATACTTGACCGGTTAAATATTTTTTGCTAATAAAATCTGTTCACCGATACTTTTTACCTGTTGATTAAGGCGCTTGAGAATACCCTTAAAATCACAGATATATCGATATTAATACTGTCAAAAGATTTCAAAAGATTTCGAGCCTTTGGTTTATTTGAGAATCCTGACGAGATTCGATATACAAATTGGTTTTATATGATTTGGGATAATACCGGTTTTTGTGAATTATTAAAACCGCACTCCATTGCAAATATTGAATTGAGATGGTACATAGAAATTCTATGAATAAATTAAAAAAAATAATAAGTCAGTAATACGTATCTTTAAACCCATCAACCCTTTAGAGATAATTAGTAATAATAATATCCTGAGCCGTTGGGAATTAGCGGAAACTAAGTTTCCGCTTATTCACATACGGTCAGGATATTCCTCCCGTGATCTTGATATAGTGATCGGGGGATTATTATTACAAATTTACTATAAAATACCGGAGATTCTGTTAAGAAAAAATCCAGTATAATTTTTAATAATCAGAATCTATTCATTAATATTGCAATTTTTTGATACTTTCTTCGCCTTATACTGCATGTTACTCTTTTCACCTATAGATTCTAAATTTCATTTGATAGAAATACTGGCAGAAAAAAACAATAGGATGCGATTTTTTGTAATGATAGATTTAGCAATCTTTTATAGAATTATGACAATTTAATCCACATGTTACCATATAAGTCATCGTGTGTGCTAAGTACAATCGAAAATGTGTACCAGGTTGGGACGTAGTCTTCTTATCTACGAATCAGCTTTCAATATTAGGTGTAACGTAACATAATCAAGATGATTCAAAACAAACGTTCTGCCAAAAATCGCTCATAACTCAAAAATCAGCATAAGAAACCACCTTCTGTGCTCTAATAAAGAGTTTTCGTTGGACAATTTTACTACTAAATATACTACCCACTAGTTCTTAACCCTGACCTTAACCCTAACCTTAACGAATTTTAAGAATTTTGTCTGCGCCACCAACCTGACACACATTTTACAATTGCGTATTAAGTGAATTAGTACTTTATGATACGCCAATCAACCAGGTGCGTAAAAATCCCTTACGTATTTGGGAAAAATAATTAGTTATTTACAGTATCACCCGATACAATCCATGCTCATAAATATTTATTATTTACAGATGTTTTCATAAATCTTGAGAGACAACTAAAAAATTTTTGATCGAATACCAGGAACGGAGTGCATGGTTTTACAGTGAGTGAAGTGTCCCTACGCAGATACGTGCATCTTATTGGTTAGCACATATATATATATATATGCATTGTAAAATGCTTATCCTATTTTGTTTGTGATTATACTCGTGATTTTCGTCTTTGTATTGGGCTTACCATTACTAGTTTAAATCTTTCCTATGCTGGTTTATTGCTATTTCTATATATAACAATATGATTTTGTGTTCTCATTGTAGAGTGTTCGGTCTTATGCGATTTCAGATATTTTTTAAAAATCTCTGAAATTGCGTAAGACTGGACACTCAATCTGGTTGTGCCTCAAATTTGCCTAATTTATTATGATATCAGGTTATATCTCGATTTCATCCGTTTTTGAATTATGTAAGTACGTGCGTACATGTATTTGTGTTTTACTTATTATAGATTGTACGAAA